GGATTGAAACAGACAACACGCCCTCAGCCACCAGCCCGCGCCTCGAGCACTCCGGCACTTAGTATTTTATTCAGCACTGTGCCTCCTCTGATTCTCGGTTCCTCCTGGTGGTAGAACTTCCACTCAGCCAGCCTTTCCTGTGGTTCTGGGATGATGTCCCATTCCGTCTTTTAGTTGTATTTTTGAAGTGGGTTGTTCGAGGCAGCAAACTCCGGCGTTTAACCTATGCCGCCATCTTGGTTTTTTTTCTGATGAATATTCTTATGAAACCTTCTCCTGAGATCCTCACCCTCAGGAACAAAAAGCGCGCGCGCGCGCGCGCTCGAGAGAGAGAGAGAGAGAGAGAGAGAGAGAACCTTCGGGACAGTGCTGATCTGGTGGCTCAGTTGGTTTGAGCATTGATCCAATGTATCTAGGTTGTGGGTTAGATCTCTGATAAGAGCACATAAAAGAAGCAACCACTGAATGCATAATTAAGTGGAACAACAAATGATGACTCCTTCTACATTTTATCTTTCTCTAAAATCAATAAAGAAAAATGAAAAAAGAAGAGGTCCTTAGGACAGAGACTCAGTGCCAGCTCACTCTAGGCTATGCCCATGCCCCTTTCCTAGCTTAAACTTTTAACTTTTCTCTAAACTTTAAGGGTTCTCACTGGACATTCAACCAGAGGAGCAACTGGCAGCAGCAGCTCACCCCAGGCTTACACCTGATCTTATCTACATGTTCCCCTGGTCTCTGACATCCCAGTGACCTAACAGCAGCCCTGCCTTGACTCACTGCTTTCCTGCAACCTTTCTAAGGGGCCAAAGCTCTCCTGTTGCTTTTTCTACTCAAAGTTCTTTGTTTCTATGTCCCTAGCTTTAACAGATGCACTCCCAAAATCACCTGGACTCCTGTTGACAAATCTTTCCTACTCAAGTTCAAGAACCCACCCAGTAGAGTCTGGGCTGAGGTAGACCTGCTGCACCCTGGTCCCTTTTGGTAACAATTCGTTACGTAGAGAATGTTTCATGTGTGGCTTGACAAGAATGCCTCTTCTGCATTTGGATGGAATGTTCTGTATATATACAGCCGTGGTTCTCAACTTGGCGGCACATTAGAATCGCCTGGGAATCTTTTTAAAATCCTGATTTCTGGGCCTCCTACTCCGGAAATTCTGTTTCTTTGTGATGGGGTGGGGCCACAACATTAGTAACAAAGAAACAGAATTTCCGGAGGATGAGGCCCAGAAATCAGGATTTTAAAAAGATTCCCAGGTGATTCTAATGTGCCGCCAAGGTTGAGAACCACTGATATACAGGATTAGAGTTGCTCTAAAATGTAGTCAAACTACAGTAATTCCATATTTATTTCAGACAGGATGACCTAGCCTTTGTGAAAGGGGAATATTGAAGTTCTATACTAACATATATTTTTTCTGCTTTCAGATCATTCATTATTTCCTTAATGTTCTTAGTTATTCTGTCCTTCTCAGCATATTACTTAAAGGTGTTAAGCTCTTGATTTTCCTTATATTCATGGCGTAGGTTGTGGCCAAGGGGATTTTTATTGGAATTCCTGCCGACATACGCTATAGGGTCCTCTGATTTGTAACGTTCGGTGTTGCGGGGGCTGCTGTGGTTCCTAAGAACAAAGTTCCACCACAGAACACGCCACTGGGGTCACACAGTGCAAGCTCTGCAGATAACAGGCATATTCAATCCTTGTGTTTCAAACCATGCCATTTCCACATAGGTTTGCTCACCCAGTCAGCCTTTCCTCTTCCTCTCTTTACTGCTGTCCAGTATTGGTCCAGGCACATATCTTTATATTTACCTCAAACATCATCTGCCCTTTTTCAGATAAATTTTATTGGTTTGTGTGCATTCCCATGTGCCCTGACTGGGAATCGAACTGTGGCCTCCTGGTTCATAAGCCACCCTCAACCAGAGAGCCACCATGGCCCAACAAGATTACTTTTGGCTGTGGGGTCAACATGTAATTCACCAGTGCTTCCTTTTGTTCAGGTTGCTGCTGTGGAACACGGGATCTGGAGGCATCCCTTGAACAGAACGTGTCTGTAAGACTGTCACAGGCAAAGAAGACCAAAGTACCTTTGTCTTCCCAGAACAGCCACCCCTGTAAGAGTTGTGCTCCGGTCTTAAGGGACATTTTCCAGTTGGTTGAGCGACAGGGAACACAACACAGCCTGAAACTGTTGAGGTGTGATACGTGTGCAAAACCATTTTATTTCAGTGCGAAGTGTCACCAGAACCATGAGCAGCACAGGAGAGGCAAGCGTTTGATAAGAGGTGTGTACAGGGCCTCACTTGCGAAGAGCTGCACATTCAGTGTGTCCCAGACGCTCTTTACCAGTCAGAAGGTTGGACACAGCATCCTTACACAATTTGGAAGAGCTTCCCAGCAGAAGGCACAACAATGGCAGCGATACCGGTGAGTTGAACAGGCACAGCCTTCAGTGATCCCAGGTCCCATAAGGGAAGGAGGAAAGAGTCTGAGATTTTCTGAGATGAAAATATTGGGAATGTTTTACTGGGGATTGTGAATGTGTTCTAATTACTTGGTCATTTGCAAAACTTTCCTAAACTATCCCACCTCTCTGTCTTTGTTCATCAGCATTTGGTGGTATCTGACTGAGGGTGAACTCTATTGAGACACTGTGACTTTGTGTGGGAAGTGAACAGCTGACTGGGATGAGGGAGTGTGAGCATGGGTGCAAGGGGTGAGATTGCACATTTGTCTTCATGCCTCTGAGTATGTGTGTGTGAGTGCAGCTGGGGCAGTGGTTGAACAGCTGTGCTTGTCATCATGAGTAGTAGTGTTGGGAGGTATGTGTGAGACGGTGAGTCCCATGTCTTTGTGTAACTGTGTGTGTATGATGATCTATGACTACGCGTTGAACTATGAATATGTGTGCAGCTGCGTCTGCTTGTGAGGGATCTTCATACATGGTAGTGACTGTTTAAGTAGCTGTGGTTCTTTCCATGTGTATCATTGTGGCTCCTGGTGGGCAGAACTGGAGGTCTTGGGGAGAGTGGGTTTCCCAGGACTCCTTCCTGAGCATTAATGAGAGCAGAATGAGTCAGTCCTCAGATGCCTCTTCTCAAGGAGGCTGGGGAAAGGTGAACTTCAGACTGTGGGCACAGGATCTCCTGTCTGAATCAGCACACAGTGACCCCTGCTCCTGCCTCAGTTCTCCTCCCCCAGCCAGTCCTTCCTTTGTCCTATCAAATAATGGTAAGCAGATCCTGGCTCTCTGGGGAAGGTGGTTGGGAGAATTGGTTTCAGAGAATGGATCACCTGAAGATGGAAGGAACAAAACCAGCCTCAGTCCAGACAAGCTTACAGTTGATATGAGGGAACAACCTGTAGATTCTATCTAATTACTTTCCTGTCTCCCGCCCTGTGTGCAGGTAGTGACTGTCCTTAACAACTAGTACACATTCCTGAAAGGACACCATTGCCCGTGAAATTTCTGATGCATATACATGCCACACACAGGAGTCTCCTTTTCCATTATTTCCCTCTCCCTCCAAATTATCTTATTTTGGAGTGAATTTTTATATTTTATACTTTTACATTTTAAAGTCTTATCTTCACAGTTTCTGATAAAAACTGATGGGAGGGTAGTATCCCAGAAAGGATCCTCCCCTTCTGCTACATCTCCACTGTATAGACCCTGTACCTGCCAGTGACCATGCCAAAGGTTTTACACCTATTAGTGCAGCTATTCCTGAGAATATCCTAGGAAATAGGAATTTTTATAATCCTGCTTGTACTGAGAAAACAGAAGTAGGGATCATTCAAGTAATGGAACTCAGTTCTCATTGGTAGTAAGAGGCAGAATCAGCATTAGAATCCAGCCCTAACTGGTTTGGCTCAGTGGATAGAGCATCAGCCTTCAGACTCAAGGGTCCTGGGTTCGATTCCGGTCAAGGGCATGTACTTTGGTTGTGGGCACATCCCCAGTAGAGGGTATGCAGAAGGCAGCTGATCAATGTTTCTCTCTCATCGATGTTTCTAACTCTCTATCCCTCTTCCTTCCTCTCTGTAAAAAATCAATAAAATATATTTTTAAAAAAAAGAATCCAGGCCACCTGGCTTTTGAACTCTTGCTGTTAACTTCAACCTTTTCATTTCTTCAAAGATACAGGGACCTGCCTGTGGTGAGGGGGAAAGAATAGGGTCCTCAGAGTATGTCCTTTGATGTATAACCTGCTTTGCCACTGGGAACTGTTATAGGATCGGCGATCACACCTGGCCTTGCCCGGCTCAACCACTCTCGTCTCTCATGGCAGGTCCCATATACAAAATATGTATCCTTGCCTGTTGGTTCTTTTGTGAAAATCAAAGGCACACCTGCCGTGTCTTTCAGGTAAGTATCTATAGCCCATGGGGAGGAGAAGTGAGGTTATTAGAGCTTTGGGGGCCACTTCATGCATGACTGAGGTTGAAGTTTGTAATTAGCCTAATGGTAGCACAATGCAGATGCAGGTTCTGGAGACCCATATGGTGTCAGGCATTAAAGCTACAGGTGCATGACTGTGGGCAAGTGTTGAAGTCTATAGGCTGGAGTCACTCAGGCATTGGTGCTGAGGTTTATTATCAAGGGACACAGTATTTTCAGGGCATGAAAAGTAGCCCCGGAGGGAGAAGATGGCTGCCGACGGGAAGGCAGACTGCAAGACAGTGTGAGAGTGAGAGAACGAAAGGAGAGTATGTGGACGTACGGAGAGTGTAAATTTGTGGGTGAGCGATTGCTATACTCCAGGGGACTGTTGGAGACTGCTGCATCAGACTCCCCTAACCAGGCAGCCTCCACTGCTGCTGAAATCTCTCCCAGAGCAGCTGGCTCAGCGGCCGAGATCGCACCATCTTGAGTGGCTGATATCGGAAGTGTATACATCCAGAGACCCTGCAACCACGGCACCCAGGGACCAGCTACGAAACCAGGAACACCAGATCTCAAGCAGCGCGAATACATGGACTCAGAAGAGCCCTGCTCCTCCTCACAGAAAGGTCAGATTTCGCCTAGATAAAGGTGCGGTTTGTAATTCAGGTTGGAGAGAGGAATGCGCACGGGGGAAGTCTGCACCCCACAAAGTCCGGCCGTTGGGGCCAGCGTGATCCGCAAGTGTGGAAGGGGTCCCGCAGGGCTGCTGGCCGAAGGGAACTCTAAAAATCAGCCCATAGCTGGACTGGGTGCAAAAAGGCAGCCTCGGATTTTGCCAGTGTGCCGGCTGCTTAGTGTCAAGGGAGAGAGGATGCGCAGAAGAGACGCTGGGAGAATTGCCCACAGAGCTGGATGGTGGAGGGTTGCAAGCTCTTGCACTTACTCTGGCTCTTTTTTTTCTCCTTAAATCTTTGCTTTTGATGATTAAACCCAATATATAGGACTGCCCAATTGGGGTCACTCACAGAGACTGCAGGGGAAAGTTGTTTTTGTGGAACCTGGGAATCAGAGTGGGGAGTAATGATCAAGGAACCAGCTCTGGGGCAGTCGACTCTCCCAAACCAGTATTAAGTGCGATAGAGAAAATAAAACCTAAATACTGGCTAGAGAGGAATTATAGCTTCGGAGGTCAATCCAGAAACACTGCCACCCAGGGGCTGAACCACAAACTGACTCTTCTGTAAACACAAATAAAGGCAGTCTGGGAAACAAAGAAATACTGCCTGCTTTAAAATCAGGACTGTGGTTTACAACACGGAGGAACAGTGTATCGCAGGGTACTTCAACACTCTCCTGAATACCTGACAGGACTGAGGCGTGCCAAACAGAAGAGTGTAGGAAGTGAAGGACCTTCACTACTGCACATTTTTCTTTTTTTCACCTTTTACTTAAGAAACTAAATTGTTTTTCTTTTTCCCTCACCTGATTTTACCTTTTTAATTACTACATTTTTATTTTTAACCAGTATGATTACTACTACCATTTTACCTTTTTAAAGTGTCATTTTATTTTCTCTTTATTTTATTTTCATCTTTCCTTTAGCATTATTTTATTCTTTCTCTTATCCTATTCATCATTTAGATTTTCCCTATTCCTTCTTTTTACTCCCTGTTAAAATTTCACCCTACTTATATATCTAATTTCCAATCCCCTGCTCTAAGTCCATATACACCACTCTCTTCTCTTTCTTCACTATACAAATTTTTTTCTCTCTGTCGTTTTGTTGTTTGCTTGATTGTTGATTATATTGGGGGTTTTTATGCTTCTTTGTGAGATTGTTTCACTTTTTCTTTTTCTTTTTTCCCCAGTTATTTTTTGCTTCTGTTTTCCCTCGCCTTGCTTGGTATTAGTTGTTGTTTGTAGTTTGCATTCATCTGTACGTATCTGTTGCTGGCATTTGTTGGGATTATTGGCTGTTCTATTGGAGTTTTCTCCCCATATAAATAGTTTCTTCCCCTATTCTATTTCATTCTCTTTCTTTTCTCCCTTACTTTTTTTTCCTTTTCCCAATTTCATTTTTGCACTCCTTTTTTCCCTCTTTTTCTTTTTTGTCTTTTTCCCTTCTTCTTTCTTTCTTATCCCCTAATTCCCTTTTCTCTGGTGGTTGCCTTTATTTGGGGTTATTAGTATCGTGAATACACTTGTGTTCAGTGCCTTGTGCATTGTGACTTGTTGTGTTGTATTTTGTGCCTTTAAATTAATGCAGCAGAGAGAGAACTACATAACCAAACACCCAGAAAAGAAAGATCATGGGGAGACAAAGAAACAGCCCACATATGAAAGAAAAACAGTCATCACCAGAAAAGGAAGTAAACAAAATAGAGGCAAGCAACCTGTCAGAGAAAGAATTCAGAGAAATGGTCATAAGGTGGATGAAAAGAATGGAAGACAAATTCAACAATATGTGAAACAACCAAGAGGAAATGAAGGAGAACCAAGAAGAAGTGAAAAATGACATCACTGCTATAAAGAACTCAATAGAAAGCATCAACAGTAGACTAGAAGAAGCAGAAGGCTGCATCAGTGAGATAGAAGACAAGGTAGGAAAAAATACCCAACCAGAGCAGCTTCCAGAAAAAAAATTACAAAGCAGGAGGAGAGACTAAGAGAACTTTGGGACAACACGAAACAAAACAACATCTGCATAATAGGGGTGCCAGAAGGAGAAGAAACTGAGCAAGGAATAGAAAACCTGTTTGAAGAAATAATGACAGAAAACTTCCCTGATATAGGGAAGAAAAAACTCACACAAATCCAAGAAGCTCACAGAGTCCCAAACAAAATGAACCCCAAAAGACCGATGCCAAGGCACATTATAATTAAATTGGCAAACACCAACGACAAAGCAAGAATCTTAAAAGCGGCCAGAGAGAGAGACAGAAAGTTACCTACAAAGGATCCCCCATCAGACTAGCGACTGATTTCTCAACAGAAACACATCAGGCAAGAAGGGAATGGAATGAAATATACAAAGTCATGCAAAGGAAGGGTCTGAATCCAAGAATACTATACCCAGCAAAGCTATCAATCAAAATTGAGGGTGAAATCAGGAGCTTCACAGACAAAAAAGGACTATGGGAGTTTATTACCACCAAACCAGCAATCCAAGAAATGCTAAAGGGTCTGCTGTGAAAAGAAAAAATAGGAAACAAAAAAGGAACACATGGGTAAAGAATAAAAATGGCGACAAACAAGTATCTATCAATAATAACTTTAAATGTAAATGGATTAAATGCCCCAATCAAAAGACATAGGGTAACTGAGTGGATAAGAAAACATGACCCATATATCTGCTGTCTACAGGAAACCCACCTCAGAAAAAAAGACACACACAGACTGATGGTGAAGGGATGGACAAAGGTTTTTCAGGTGAATGGAAATGAAAAAAAAGCTGGGGTAGCAATACTTATATCTGAAAAATTAGATCTCAAAGTGAAGGACATAAAAAGAGATAAGGAAGGCCACTTCATAATACTAAAGGAAGCAATCCAACAAGAAGAAATTACTCTGATAAACATATACACACCCAATATAGGAGCACCAAATACATAAAAAAAACTTCTGGAGGAAATCAAGGGAGAGATTGACAGCAATACAATCATAGTAGGGGACTTTAATACCCTACTATCACCATTGGACAAATCCTCTAAACAAAAAATCAGCAAAGAAACATTAATCCTAAATGACTCACTAGATCAGATGGAATTAATTGACCTCTTCAGAACATTTCACCCCAAAGCCACAGAATATATATTCTTCTCAAGTGCACATGGGTTATTTTCAAAGATAGACCATATATTGGGTCACAGACAAAGTCTCTTCAAATTCAAGAAAATTGAAATCCTATCAAGCATCTTCTCAGACCACAATGGCATAAAACTGGAAATCAACTACAATAAAAACAATCCAAAAAAATCAAACACATGGAGACTAAATAGCACGCTATTAAACAATGACTGGGTTACCAGAGAGATCAAAGAAGAAATAAAAAACATCATGGCAACAAAGGACAATGAAAACACAACAATCCAAAACCTATGGGACACAGCGAAAGCAGTCTTGAGAGGGAAGTTCATAGCTCTACAAGCCTACTGCAAGAAACAAGAAACAATGAGAATAAATTACCTAACCCTACAACTCAAAGAGTTAGAAAGAGAGCAACAAGAAAAGCCCAGTGTAAGCAGAAGGAAGGAAATAATAAAGATCAGAGCAGAGATAAACAACATAGAGACCAAAAAAAAAACAAAAAACAAAACAAAACCAATACAAAGGATCAACAAAACCAAGAGCTGGTTCTTCGAAAGGATAAACAAGATTGATGAACCTCTAGCCACGCTCACCAAGAAACAAATAGAGAGGACCCAAATAAACAAAATCAGAAATGAAAGAGGAGAAATAACAACAGACCCCACAGAAATACAAAGGATTGTTAGAAAATACTATGAATAACTCTACTCCAACAAACTAGACAACCTGGAGGAAATGGACATATTCCTAGAAAAATACAATCTTCCAAAACTTAGTCAGGACGAATCTAAAAATCTCAATAGGCCAATAACTATGGAAGAAATTGAAGCAGTCATTAAAAAGCTCCCAGCAAACAAAAGCCCAGGGCCAGACAGCTTCACATGGGAGTTTTACCAAACATTCAAGGAAGAACTAAAACCTATCCTCCTCAGACTATTCCAAAAAATTCAAGAGTAAGGAACACTTCCAAGCTCGTTCTATGAAGTCAGCATCACCCTAATACCAAAACCAGATAAAGACAACACAATGAAAGAGAATTACAGGCCAATATCCCTCATGAACATAGATTCCAAAATCCTCAACAAAATCCTAGCAAATCAGATCCAGCAGTACATCAGAAAGATCATACAACATGACCAAGTTGAATTTATCCCAGGGATGCAAAGGTGGTACAATATCCACAAATCAATAAATGTAATACATCACATAAACAAATTGAGAGATAAAAACCACATAGTCATTATCAATTAATGCAGAAAAAGCATTTGACAAAATCCAACACCCTTTCTTGATAAAAACTCTCAGCAAGATAGGAATAGAAGAATCATACCTCAACATAATAAAAGCCATATATGACAAACCCACAGCCAACATCATAATCAATGGGTAAAAACTAAAACCATGCCCCCTAAAAACAGGAACAAGACAGGGATGCCCCCTGTCACCACTCCTGTTCAACATAGTACTGGAAGTACTAGCCATTGTGAACAGACAAGAAGAAGAAATAAAAGGCATCCAAACTGGAAAAGAAGAAGTAAAACTGTTCTTATTTGCAGATGACATGATACTGTACATAGAGAACCCTAAAGACTCCATCAAAAAATTATTAGGCTTAATAAATGAATTCAGCAATGTAGCAGGATACAAAATTAATACCAAGAAATCTATGACATTTCTTTACACGAATAGTGAATTTACAGAAAGCGAGACTAAAAAAGCAATCCTATTTACCATAGCACCAAAAAAATTAAGATACCTAGGAATAAACTTAACTAAGGAGGTAAAAGACTTATATGCAAAAAACTACAGGACACTTAAA